CGGCAAACGCCATAGTTATAGAGTTATGGTGATTGAAAAAAGTTCTGAAAAAATGTACTATACTAATTTTTTTTACTTTACTCAATAGGACACTCTGGAAAAACTTAAAAAACAATTTTCTAGCATTGAGTACAGTTAAAGAAAAAGTTCCTGTTACTAAATATATTACTTTGACGATAAATAATTACATAATAGTTGAATTTGTTCTCATGAAAGGTATAATAGTGAAAAAATAAGCATAAAAAATATTCAAATTTTTACCCAACTCGAATAAGGCAGGGGGGGGGGGATTGTATAAAATATCAAAAATAGCAAAATTAATCAAGAAAAGGATTCCAAAATATATTTTTGGATATCGAATAGGGACTAAATTGTAAAAAGTGCCAAAAACTAAAACAACTAAATATTATAAAATAATAATTTAAAATAAATTAAAATATACCTTTACCTTACAATTACGATTGCAATCACCATACCATAATTTTTGTTTTTTTTTTTTAAATTTTAAATTAATTGTGAATTATTTTTAGTCTTTAACAAATTATTGTCTAGCCTATTGCTTTACAGCACTAAATGTATTGTAAGGCCCAATGATTTTTTCAATTAATTCATTTTTCTTTTTTTCTTTCTTACAACAACATCAAATCGGGATTTTCTAAATATTTTTTAAATACCGACACCCATTGAGCTCCAACTGCACCATCTAATACTCTATGATCACAACTTAGCGTTACAGACAAATAATCCGATATTTTATAACTGAAAAATAATAATAATAACTTTTTAAGGAAAAAATAAAAAAATATGGGGAAAATAAAAATAAGTAAATAAATAAAAAAACGCACCCTTTATCACTTTTAGAATGGGGTACAACTTTTTTGTATTTTGAACCTACTGAAAGTATACAAGCCTGTGGCGGATTAATAATGGCTGAAAAATTACTTATTCCATACATTCCTAAATTAATTATTGAAACTGTTCCTCCCTGGATAAAAGATTATGAGTATTAGTGTGCATTGTATTATAACAGTATAAATTATAAAAAAAATTTTTACCTGATAATCATTAGGATCTAATTTTCCTTCTCTTGCTTTAGCGACCAATTCTTTCACTTCGGTACTTATGCTATTTAAACCTTTGGTTTCTGCACTAAATACAATCGGAAACAGTAAACCATTTTCAGTAATAACAGCCACATTCACATCGACATTATTAAATCTGCAAATTTTAAATATGTGCATAGAATTTATTTTTTTTCTCTTCTCATTTTCAATAAAATCAAAATAGCTTTTTTATTAAATTATTTACTGTCTAATAAAAGTATCCTGCCAAGATGAATTTGCTTCTGGAACTTGTTTGCAAGCTAATGCTGTCGCTTTAATGATAAAATCATTAAGGCTAAGAGAAATCCCGTCTTTTTCTTTTAACTTATTTATTTTAGTATTCATATCGACAGTGTTATCAATATTAATTTCTGTACTAAGATAATAATGAGGAATAGTCTGGAAAAAATAATGTGTGTTTAAAAAACAATAAAGAAAAATTTTTTTACAAGTACAATATTATTTATAACAAACCTGTTTAGACTTAGAAAAATGTTGAGTAAGAACACTTTGAGCATTTGATGAAGTTAATTCTTCGAATGCCGGTTGTGTAACAGACTGTTGTGAAATTTTAAGAGATTTAAAGTTTTGTAAATCTGGAGCTTTAATAGATCCATGTATTCCACTTCCAGAACCTAATTTCTATTTAAATTATTCAACAAGACATAAATATATATTTTTTGGTTGTAAAAGAATAATAATAATTATTAACAAAATGATTTTACCTCCAGTGACAATCCCAGCTCGGAAGCAATTTTTTTTGCCAGTGGACTGGAGTACACTCGATTCTGTGTATTTGCAGAAGATTCCAGAAATGAAGGTGGCAAAGGAGAAGATGGAGGAGGAGGAGGAGGAGGGTATGATGTAGAAGAGGTCACTGTAGGAGATTCTTTAACATCTGATTTTTTGGAATCTGGTTCTTCAGTTTTATCAGATTCAGTGCTGACAAAGTTTTTAAAAGCATCTACATCAGCTTGATCGGAAACTATTATGCAAACCAACTAAAAGTAAGTAAAATGATATTTTCTTAAATAAAAAAAAAGTTTTAAAAGTAATTTAAAACAGTTTTTGAAATAATTGAAATTTAAACATGACATAAAACTAAAAAGGTAGTTAATTATTTTTTTCATTTAGCGATTTCAAAAAAAAAAAAAAGAAAAATTAAAGAAAAAGAATGAACCTTTCCTATTGGAACATTTTTAGTTCCAGCAGACACCAAAATTTTTGCCAAATATCCTTCTTCTGGTGTTTCAAATCCCATCGATGCTTTATCTGTTTCAATTTCTGCTAAAAGATCCCCTTCATTTAATTTATCACCCTCTTTTTTTTCCCAGCTAATTATTGTACCACTTTCCATGGTAGGTGAAAGAGCAGGTAGTGTAACTTTAAAGTGACTCGGATAATTACAATATGATCTGCGATGCAGATTATTATTTATAGTTGCTGAAGAATCAAAAAAATTAATACTGCTTTGTCTGTAATCGTTTTTTTAAAATTTAATCAATGATTTTAAATAGAATTTTGAATGAAAATACTTCATTGAAAAAATAATTACCTCAATGAAAGTTTTTTACGACGTTGCCTATATATTTGTGTAAAATACCTAGCTTGTTTTAAATTTATTTCTTTTTTTAACGTGCATTTTATTGATGTATTTCTTAAAAATAAATTTCTAATCATTTTTTTTTTTTTTTTTTTTTTTTTTTCCCCCAATTAAAAATTTTTTTTTCAAGGGGCCCAAAAAAAATACTTTAACAAAGGTGACTTTGAGTGTACCCCCCTCGGTGACCTTTTTTTGAAATATATAAATCAAAAAGTTAAATTTTAATTAATTGTAAAATTAATTTCGTTACATTAATTAATTATAATAATTAATGAATTTTTCATTAAATCTTTAACAAGTCATTCATCGTCATTCATGTTGATAATACTCGAGTATTATTTTAAATAGTGAAATATATGCAATTTGCAGTTGTCAAATTATTTAGCAGACGACAGAACATTTCTCTGTGTAAAACATGGATTTTTACAAAACATTAAGTATTTTTTGAAATCGATTTTATAAATAATGTAACAAAATGTTTGACAGTTAATCATAATTAATAATTCACATTCGTGGAAGGTGAATGGCAGGCTTGGATTCTTGGTATGTTATTATTATTTTTCATTTAAAAAAAAAAAAAGAAAAGAGTACATTATTATCCTTATCACTCGTCGCAATTATCATTAGCTTTGTATATAATAATATTGTATTAGTTATGTTGCAATAATTAATTATTTCCTTTATTTATCTCATAAATTTTTTATTTTATTTATTAAAAATTGCCTGTATGAGTTTTTTTTTATTTAAATGCATTATACATAACAATAAATTTATGGCACATAAAATTTTACAAAAAACATAAAATATCAATTTGATAAAATCATTTTTTGTTTAAAATTTTGACTGTGATGTGATCGAATAATGAAAATTTTATTTCGAAAAAAAACCGGTTTTAAAAATTTTATTCTTTATCGACTTTATTTATCTTAAACTTTTCTTAAAATTTCTTCTTAATTATAAAAAAATTTCATAAAAGTTTCAGATTTAAAATTATTTGCATTATTATTACTTATCAGTATTGAGAATATTGATAGTGGGAAAACATTGTTTATATTCGTTAAATTTTTTTAAGCTTTAAACTTCATTTAAAAATTTTAACTTTAAAAATTTCAAAACAAATTTTTTTTTTTGTTTTCGGTTTTCTATTCTTCCAATTAATTCTAAAATGAAAATGTAGAATAGTTTAAATTTTATTATTATTATTATTATTCATACTGAACAAATATAAAAATAACTTTTGAAATTTAAACATTTTTTTCAATTCTGCTTGTTCTCATTTTTTTGTTATTAAATTTTTACCATTAAATAAATGAAAATAATTGATATACATATTTTAAAAAATAAAAAATAAATTTATGCTCTCACTTTAATAAAAAAAAAAAATGAAAACAAAATATAAATAAAACTTAGCGGTGGCACGCAAGTTTTTGATTTCTCAACGGTTTTCTGGGGGGCTGGGGGGCTGGGGGGGGGCTTAGTTTGGGACTAAATCGAAATAAATGTTCAGTTGTTAACTGCACACATCGTGTGGTGTCCGCATTATAAAAGAATGAGTACGAAAAATATTTATTTTCGCGAGTGTACAAATAAAATTAGGAATATCATTTTTTTTATTAATTTGTATATAAATAACGATTTATTTTTATTTTATTTATTTGCGTGAACATCATAATTAATCAACGACATAATTTATTTATTTTTAGAGATGTTACTTAAATTTGATATTTATTAAAACTACTTTAAAAAAAAAAAAAATTGATATACATTATTTATTTATTCGTGGTAACGTAAAATGGGCGCGCCAAAATACCGTAAAATTATGTCTCCTGAATTTATTTTAAAAATAACGGTTTTTTTCTTATAAATAATTTTTTTTTTTTTTTTTTTTTTTTTACCAATATAGCCTTTTCAGTTTTATTCATTTGGGGGATTTAAAATTAAATTCAACCTGATTAAGGATCCAATAATAATAATAATAATAAATTTTATATTGAAAAGCGTATTTTTTAAATGAAAATAATAAATTTTTGAAAAAAAAAAAAAAAAAAAAATGGAAAATTGTAGGTGAGGCGCCAAAATGTCTCTCTTTCTCTCATTTTTGTTTATTATAAAAATGTCAAACGAAAAAAAAAAAAAAAAAAAAACATAAAATGATTTTTCTCTCTCTCTCTCTCTCTCATTGCAGGCATATTGAAAAAGAGAAAATATTAGGGCCGACGTCTTTGACGAGTACATCACATGACAGGTCCACCAACACCACAACAACAACAACAACAACAACAACAAAAACAACAACAGATATCGAAGTGTTGTCAGTGCCTGATCATTCCTTAATGAAGAAACCTGTTCCTTTATGCAGTTTAAATAACGTTCAATTAAGGTTTCTCTGTCCGTCCGACATAGATGAAGTGAGAGAATTGTGCCA